TATATATTCTCTTGCTTGGCGTTACAAGGAGACATAACTTATTTAGTCTACACAGATTCCTGGTATGTACGTACATCTCTAGGGCCCAGCCACGGGTTGACGACTTTTAAACCATTACTTTACCCGCGCTATAGCAGAAGTACACTTTTTCGATAAGAAAAAAAAATCAATTAGCATTGGCCCTCGCATCTCATTTTGCCCTCTGGGGACTTGAAAGTGGGTCACAACTTTGAAACTATTCACAGTTCAAACTCATTTAAGTCATAAAAATTTAAATTCGCTTATATTGGCCCATGGGCTTCCCCATGCTCCCAAAGGGCATTTAACAGGGTCGTTATCGAGGCACGCCAATTCCACAATTACCTTTGGATGCCAGCGACAAGATATGCCAGATTCTTACGAACACTGAATCCCCCCCTTAAAATACAACAGCATCATGGGGAGGTCCTGTTGGTGGCGAATTTAGGATCTCAGTCAAAAGAAAAAAATGAACAACTGTTCTAATTGACTGATAAATTACTGAATTTGATGGAGAAGGTCTGATTGGATATTTTTGTCTTCATTTACAACTCAGATAAACTTACAAAGATTTTGTTAAATGCAAAAATGTTACTTTCATTATCAAGCAATCCTTTAAACCCAAACCCATGTATACTCTAATTTATGTTGACCCCAAAGACTGGTTCCCATTCTTCAATATCATTAATATCGTGTGTCTTATATCTATCCCTGATTTATTTGAGAGACCTATGAATAGTAAGAGAGTAAATAAGTAAGCAGTGCACATGGTTGTGCTTGTCAAAACTTACATAGTGAATAGCAAATTATATTGAAACTTCATGCATGCCAAGGATAGCCATGATGCATTTCAAGCAACACTGAAGTGTTTGACTTTTATTTCAGAAAGTTCAAAACAATGCTTTAAATAAATCTATATAATCAAGAGCTGTATTGTTTTCTATCACGATGTATATCTCTTCAGTTTAAGACTGGAATATATTTTTAGCATTGACTGAAATCAAAAGTAAAAGCCAGTGTGTCCTATTTCTTCAGAACTGGAGATTTAAATGACAGACATTATTTAAAATTCATCTAGAAAACATAATTTTTTAAAAGGCATGCATATTCCAATTAAAATCCAAAATATAAAGTTCCAAATCTCACTGAATAAAATTATGAGGGTAATAGGAGGCAAGAAACCTAAGTGATCACGTATGAATCGTAATGTTTCAAAGCAAAAAAGGACATATAAAATTGGTGACTATATTTAAGTTGTAAATGGGGAATTGTAGAAACTTTATGCATTTGCTTGCACTGATATAAACCAATATACAAACCTCCCAACCATACACAATCAAATCTACACATTCAATCTACACACTGTACCCCTTCCCTCTTTCATGACCATGGTTGCCATATCATGAACGTGTTTTTAATATCCCACTGAATAATATTCAGAGGTATTCGTTTTTCATGCTATCAGCAAATAGAACTAGACCTTTGTATTTGCAGTCAAGTTAATTGTATATGCATATGTGGATCAACTGTAAATTTGTTATCTACAGGACTCACGGCGTTAATTGGGGGTTCCGGATGGCAGGGTGATCCAAAGATCTCTCCACCCACTGTATTTCACTTACCACCTCTTTCCTCTTTGGTTCGAGTCTCCGACTCTGCCAACGTGGATATATGAGAAAACTTGCTAGTAGCTTCCCTTGGGGTTTTGACTCCTTCCGAGGTTTTCCCGGGTTTTTCCTCCACCAAAAGCCTGTCGTATGTTGAAAATGGCGTCAAAGCCATAACAACGATGTTACTTAAGCCCCCATATTAAAACCTCTATAAATATAATTAGATTACAAATTCGATAACTTTTCCTTCATGAATGCTTATAATCAAGCTTCTGTGTAGAAAACCATAAGAGCTGCAAAATTGTATCTATTTGCATGTGTGTGAAATGTGTTGTCAATTATGCACCAAACAGTCGAGTGATAATTTTGAAAATGAGTTTTGCAAACTCAAATCTTTAAAAGGACAGAAATTCCATTCTTTTTCAGTTATAGCTAGGATAAACTATCAAAAGACTTTTTACCCTAAAATTTTACTTTTATTATCAACCAATACTGGTCAGTCAAACCCGTATTCAATTAATGCTCACCCATTTCCAGACTGGTTTCAATTTTTCCATATCATTGGTATCATTTGTCCAGCACGCTTCATCACTTTGACTTCCGGTCAAGTACCATTTCAATTGTTCATTTAGTTTGATTGTGTAACTTGCTTACATTTCACTGAAGGCGTTTTTTATTTATTATTTATCGGCAACACATTAGCTGAATAGTTATGATGCAGACGAATGTTGGAAAGTGAGCAATCAAGGGGTCTCATACCTGTAATGTTATATCAAACTCCTAACCACTCTTACCCTGTTCCAAAATTTTACGTAACGGCAGCCTGAACCTGTTGAAGGTGAATTGAAGTCATGTAAATATTCAAGTAAACTGACGAGGGGGTGGGTGTAAAAAGTCCGTATACAATGCCATTTTAGCCCTTTTTCAAGCCGTCTGACTTAATATATTTTTCTGCAGCAATAACACTATTTGTGATGCCACTTGAAAACAACCACTGTTAATTTGAGTCTAGTCATCGTTTGGATGATGAAACGTACTAGTTAACTAGACATATTAACTAGCGTCTGAAATAATGGGAAAAATCTGAGATGTTTGGAAAACGTTTTAAAACTGACAGGCATTCAAAGTATGAGCTTTTAAACCAATGGTTAAATTAAAGAGGGCCAAAAGAGACAAACCGTTCAAACGGATACAAATGATGGGAATAAATCTTGCCATATCAGTGGAGACTTTGACAGCTATGTTTAAATTCTATTTGTCCACGAGACGCGTGAATGTGTGGGTGGAGTAGACCGTACTTTCGATGAGTGGGGAGAAAAAAAAGCACTGGGCGATTTTTTCTGCAACTGACTTACACTAAAAAAAGAAACCGCTCCGGTGGCCTAGTGGTTAGAGCGTCCGCTTCGGATGCGGGAGATCGTGGGTTCGATCCCCGGTCGAGTCATACCAAAGACTTACAAAAATGGTACCAACAGCTGCCTCGCTTGACGCTCAGAATTAAGAGGTTAGTGTTAAGACTGGTTGGCCTGGTGTCAGGATAATGTGACTGGTAGGGACATCATGCTACATGTCTGCGGCATGATGCCCCAGTGCTAGACATCACTATAAACAGCCACACTGTAGACATCGTAGCGAAATGACCGAACAATTGTTAAAGCTACGTTTAAAATTATAAATCATCATAAACTAAAAAAAGAAACAATTGAGCTTTAATACTAGCAAATGGCACTTTTTTAGTTTGCATCAACAGGATTTATGTAATAGTTTACGGTGTTTAAATACTGAAGATAAAAATACCCGTTTTATGCCATGTATCCAGAGTTAGTTGAATTTATATCACAGCCATGTAAAGGTTATTCTCACCGGAGTTATTAGGACTCTAAATGCTAATGAGCACTGTCAACTATCAAGTTACACTTTAAGAAACAAGATATTTATTGGGGTGACCTAAAATATGTTTGCAGTGTAGGCTTTATGGTTATATAATAATGGTGATAGATATATTCCTTGTGCATAATAATGCTGAAATAAGTCTTCATTGTATGTTTGGAAAGTGAAAGGGATAGAGGGCCACGGCACTAAAAATGAAGTTGAGAACCGTTTAGATTTTTTTAGTTCCATACCTTAGAGAAAGTTATGATGTAACGAAAGAAGTAAACAACAAACATAGCTAAGGTAATTTGTTACAGGTTAATGTATTGCTAAGTATTTACCTGTACAAAGTGACGGATCAAATTCCTCGCCCGATTGACGTAGGTGTGAAAGAGCCCGAGCACGCGGTTCCTCGTCCCATGATAATTTCTTCTCAATAGGGGTGGGGAGTCGTCTGCTAATCACATTGCCACAACACACAAGGAGGGTCAAACTTAAACATAATGTCATTAAACTGGGACAATAACCAGTCAATTCCATATTCTGTAGACCGAGTGGTAACACCAAGCCGTTTTAACAAAAGTGTGTCAGACCGGCGTACACCTACATGTTATTATTTGACATGTCACTCAGATGAGAGGTCACGTGGTATGTCAGGTCATACACATTAAACACAGCATTAAAGTGTAAACCCATATCTAAACAAATTTAAAAAGGAACACAGTCGACAAATAGTCCCCGCTGACCCACCGTAACCTGCAGGTTAGATAAAAAGTCTTGTAGATAATGTATATATCAGAGTGAAAGGTTAAAAAGAACCCGAGTTGTTGAACTATTTTTCTGGAGCGCATTAGGGACTAAGCCTATTTTCTTTGATAAGTCTATGAATGAACCACAAAGAAATGAATGGAATAATTGACTGCTGGTGGAGATATGGGTAAGTTCGTCTGCTCGGTGCACGATCGTGTTCTTACTATCATCTTTCGAGGCCTGTTTAATTAGATTATTGTTAAAACTCGAGACTGCGAACCTTACGATCCTTCTTAAATCAGTCACCCTTCTATCGTACAATTTCAGATTCAACAGTACTGCTACACTTTTTTCTCCCGCTCACGGTAACAACTAATTGATTGATTGACCTACTGTTTGATCAGTCATTAAGTGTCAAGGACAAAATCTAACCAATTGTTGTAATTTTCGGAACCGACTGTGTTTCGGGGATGGGGCTGTCTAGAATTTGTTGGAAAATATTTGCGTCTCTCAGATAGCTAAACAAAACCCACAAATATTCATCCTAATATATCGAAAAAGAATATATTTTAGCCATAATATTAGCTGAAATATAATCTGGACGTACAAAACAAACAAAATATCATAGTTTGAATGAAAAACCTCAGACCCTCAACCCAAAAATGAAAGTTCTGTCCCTTAGTCTGGCTGTCATCAACATCCTTTCCATCGAATTTAAAAGTTATAATTGTTACTCTGCTGGTCTGTTCCGGTGGTCTAGTGGTTAGAGCATCTGCCTCGGATGCACGAGATCTCGGGTTCGAACTCCGGCATAGTTATACTAAAGACTTATAAAAATGGTACTAACAGCTGCCTCACTTGGCGTTCAACATTAAGAGGTTAATGTCAGGACTGGTCGGCTTGCAGTCAGGACAATATGACTGAGTTGGACATCATGCTACAAGCTTGCGCCATGATGCTTCAGTGCTATACATCACTCGACACTGCAGACATCGTAGCGATATGACTTAACAATTGTTAAAAATCCAAATCACACACACACACACTACTCTGTTGCTGATGATGTTTCTGACATTGCAACTACGGACGTTGATAATGATAAGTGGGAGGACAACAATAATCTTTTTTAAAGAGGTTGGGATATCTCTATCATCTTAAACAATGCAAAAAATGAAGTGAAACCAAGAATTAACGTAAAATTCAGAAAATAATAATATTTGTCCAGAATAAAAAGTGAAATTTTTTTCAAAAACCACAATATTTTGAATTAAATTCCAAATAATCCTGTCAATGAGATATTTAGATCCATAATAAATATCTTGTTTTCGAAGGCAGAATGAGGCTCTTACGGCTCGTACGCCATATTGGTTGTTATTAGAAAGGTGGCGCTCACCAGTTATTATGTACTTTTGAGAGAGTGATGTATGTAAGGTGAAGTTGTTTGCATTTTAAACATGCATAGTGGAGAGAATGTTGGCATACATATATACTACTTTCATGTAATGTGGCTGAAATTTCTTTGGATATTGTACTTTTGGAAATTTTAAATGATCTTAGGACACTGATAACTAAAATGACTTCTCCCTTGTGCTCCAAAAATCAACCTGAATTTGTCTAAAGTACACTATTATTGGCAGCTATTAAAATATGGAAAATGAGTTTTGCCAAACTAGACAATGCCAGCTTCTAAAAGTGCAATGAATGAATTACCAAATAGATAAAATGTAAAAAATGTTATCGGCTCTAATTTTTACAATTTATCTCTGAAGTTTGAGAAGTGAAAATGAGCAAGCAGAGCTAGCACTTTTTTTGAAGGTGCACATCTGGAGTAAGACCAAGCTGTATACTCTCTAACCCATATTACACCCGTCAATCATACATCAAAATAAAGGGAATTAAAGGTTCTTTGAACAATACCTAAGATATATTAAGTCTCTTTTAAAAAGCCAGTATAACTAGTGAGGTAACCCGAGGGGGAAACTCTTTTTCTTTAAAATTCTAACCCTATGCTAAATACGAAACTATAGAGCGCCACCAAATGCCATATAAATTTAATATAGCAAGATTTACTCCCCCATTGCGTACTCTTCTTATGTAAGGTTAATTGCTTTGTTACATAATATTGTTGTGAAAAGTTTTTCTTTATTGCTGCTAAAGGAATTAGATAAAATCAACCTGTATCTGTGAAAAATTACTTTAAACCCATCATGCTCCGCGTCGATGTGAATATACCAACCAATTGCTACCTTTAAGGCGGAGAAGTGTGTGGGGTTGCCGAGTTCCAAACCAGCTGTTATGGGAATGACCATATAAAGCATTCTTGTCTCCTGGTGCGAGTGGAATAACTTTGAAAGAGACTGGAGGTGATCGTGGTGGCACTTCACAAATTGCTAGATTTATATAATTCTTGTAGCATACGATGGAAAGGGTCGAGAATGTTCTGATCGGGGAAACGTGACTATTGACGAATGATGCCACAGCCTAACTAATCAGTACACTACAAGTTAAACAAAGGATAATTTTGTTCTCATCATACAGAACTATGAATTTGGGAATGTAGTTTATATCCTTTGAAATTAATTTAACATCGACCACTGCCACCATGTTGATGTCTACTCCTAAGCATTTTTCATACCCTTTTAAAGCAAGATGCATGACGCACGGATAAACGTTATGACGTCACAAACGAAAACAGTTTTAAAGTAATTTAATCAGGAGAATAGTTACTTCGAGAAAAAGAGACATATTTGGTCTGCCCATTTGTTCGGGGTCTGAGATTCTATTAAAAATCTATTTAATGCATGTTTCTAACTGAAGCTATGTTAACGAAATTGTAAAATTAAATTTTAATTTACGGTGGAAAACTTGAGTGATCCAGACCTCTTCATCTAAATTTTAATATCGATCAATTTGTCTCTAGTAATTATTTGTAATTTGACTCTCCCTGCTTCTGGTGATAAGTATCAACATGCATTTTTTGTACGTCCTGTATTTAGCGATGAACAATACAATATCACATTTGACCAATTAAGCTGAATTCTGTAGATTGATTCCACACGAATCCACACATATATGACGACAGCCATTCATTATGTTTACGTCTTTAGGTCATTGACGACAAAAATACAGAAATAAAATAAAAAGTAAAGACGATAACATTACATATATAAATCACAAGACATATTCGTATAAGCAAGAAGACACACTTTGTGTAGTTGGTTTGCTAAAATTGCGTTTATGCTTTACCCAACGAGAAATGTTTGGGACCATTTGGCGTCGGCTACAGTCGCCCTACATAGGGAGAAAGGTAATAGCTTCACCTCGAACTGGGTAAGTGGTCCTATTAAGTATGTTCCAACTGAACGAATAAGGCGATCAATTTATAAGGGATTAAGGCTCCAATTTTAACATCAAAAGTGTCCATTGTATGTGCCGAACGCTGTGTTACTCCTACAGTATCGTAGACCTGTTATACTCCACGAACATTTCTACACGTTTCGTATAAAAAAAAGAATGATACAAAATTGTCAAAAAACGACTCATGATTAAAATACTAATACAAGAAGCAGTTTTAACTCGCACCACAATCGTGTTAGAAAATGATGGATAAATAAAACGTTGCTTAGTGTTAAGTGCAAACCGAAACTGAGTAAAAATAGAAAATTGTATACAGCGCCTGCTACTGAATTAGTCTACAAATTTTGAATTTAGCTTTTGAATGTAGGGATCAATAAAATGATAAACAAAAATCCTTACAAGCAAAAACACAAAAACCAAAACTTTTTGAAGATGTTTAGCAATGACGTTTGTTAGATACAACTGTGCTGTTATGCTTCTAGTTTAACCAACCCCAATCATTTCAAATCGCACATTGAATGTGTTGCCAATATTACAAATGTCATCATTTTCGTATGAATAGTCATTATATTGCCAATAAACAGTATTTAACATGGTGTGGTTTTAAAACTCTACAATGCTGCTTCTACATGTATTAAACGTATAGATTGAATATGTCTCAACCAGCCTATATAGACTTGTTGCGGATACTGAGAAATATTTGTATTTACCTAGAAATATATGAGCCATAGCGACATCTAGTACTTTGAGTACATTTCTTTAAGGCAAATTATATCTCGGATATTTGATTCTATTTCGGATATTTTATTCTTATAGTAGTAATTAAAGAATACAAAGAAGATTTAGAAATGTTTGAAAAAAAAATGTGTCGGCTGCAAAGGATTTACTTGTGCATAGCATTCTTTTCCTAATCTTCTTTATCTATCTATCTATCTTATCTATCTATCTATCTATCTATCTATCTATCTATCTATCTATCTATCTATCTATCTATCTATCTATCTATCTATCTATCTATCTAGCTAGCTAGCTAGCAATGACTGTTCTTTCTGGTATATATTTATAATTCATTGTAATACAACAATCCTATATACCTTGATTTCTTTCATAGGAATCTGGAACGACTGTACATATATATATATATATATATATATATATATATATATATATATATATATATATATATATATATATATATATATATATATATATATATATATATATATATATGAGAATTATTTACTAGGTCATCATGCGAGTGTGTCTGCCACGCACAAGCTTGTATAACACCAACTCAGTGCCATCACTTTTGGGTGATGCGTGATTAGTCGTGACTGTATATGGGCTGGTGCGTGCAGGTAAGGCGATGGGTGCCGATTACTCGCGGAACTGGGTCCGAAAGTCGGTAGAGTACGAATTTAATTTATTTTACCTGTATGATAGTATTGTTTGTATTAAACTATTATTTCTGCCCACTATTATATATATTTGTAAAACCTATTTTAAAATTTGGAAACTCTTCAACAATATAGTATTACAGCTGTTAATCGCATTGGCTTGCAAAAGAGAAACCTAATGCAGATGGACGGGCTTTTTTGCATTTGCAAATAAAAAATCAAATTAAAATCAACAGTAGTTGAGTATATATACGGACGTATTTTGCTCTTTTAGTGAAAACATTTTATTTGTCAATACTTCTAGTACACTGGTGCAATATTTTAGTGTATATATTTTAAGAGCGTAGATATTCTTTATGTGTCTACAGACTAGAAACATATTTTTTTCACATTTAAACACTTTGTATGACCTCGGTATTTATTGCCTAAAAGAGACATAACACAACTAAGCATATGTTGTTGGAAGTTGAAAAGGATGAATCGTTAAAATGGAGTGATTCTTCTGACTTTCATTTATAGCGTTCAGTATAATGCACATCCATTCCTATTTTTCCGGAAATGTGTTTTTTTTTTTTTTTGTTGTGCAAAATCACAATTACAGTCTTTAATGGGGGCCCCGAGTGGCCGAGTGGTCTAAAGCGCTGTCCGTTACGGATCACTGCCATCTCACCTCTGTCTGCGTGGGTTCGAGTCTAGGATTCGGCGAATGTGGATATGTGAGAAAGCTTGCCAGTAGCTTCTCGTGGGTCGGTGGTTCTTTCCGGTGATTTCCCGGTTTCTTCCTCCACCATTAATACTGGCCGCCATGAATAGCCTATCGTGTGCTGAAAAATGGCGTTAAGCCCAACAACAACAACAACAACAACAACAGTCTTTAATGTATGTATGTATGTATGTATGTATGTATGTATGTATGTATGTATGTATGTATGTATGTATGTATGTATGTATGTATGTATGTATGTATGTATGTATGTATATATATATATATATATATATATATATATATATATATATATATATATATATATATATATATATATATATATATATATATATATATA